GTGGTCGTACCTTACAGGCATATGCCATCTTGTTCAAATCTTCTAGACTTAGAGTTGAAGCTCGAATCGTATGCGCTTCTATGGATGATTGGTGAGCGTATACCACAAGAAGTTTGTAGGGTTACATAGCCAATAAATCTTTAGAGAGATCCAATAAATCGTGAGAGAGAGAAATAAATTTTATTTACACCTACCCTAAGTGTTTGTTGAATGTTTTGCTTGTCGTCCAAATATTTCACCATCCATGCCATGGCAATTGCTGTTGTATCTTGACCTACAATACATTTGAAGAACGTCAACCATTACAAAAGAAGTCCCATAAAAGCATTATCACGGTCCACAACGCATCTTGCCGTAAAATCTGCTGGACAATCATCCTTGTCATATGAAATAGTTTCATCCCTTCAAGAGCATAATGCATTAAAAAAAACAAAAAAAAATTAAGGAAAGAAAAAAAAAGACCCAGATAACACTATATATATATGGGCAGTGATTTCATGCAATGGTTGTATAGTAATGTAATACAATAATCTTCAAAAACCATGTTAGGGCCATTTGTTTGTTCCAAATTTTGAAATATAAACTCTTTTCATTCTATTGAACAATCACAAAAGAAAAATTTGAGAATGGAACCTAGATTCTTAGATCTAGGTCATCCATTTTGATAAGATTCTTAGATCTAGGCCTTGAAAGAATTTTTTCTTCTCCAATTTTTTAGTTGGTTTTATTATCATTAGATAAACAATGTTAAAAAAGAGAAAAATATTTTTGATTTCGTAAAGGCTAAGCTCTAAAAATTCACCAAATGAATGATCTTGATCCGTTGTTGGAGGGGTCTCATTTTGATCATATCTAAGGTCCAAATTGAACTTTTTTTTTGGGGATTGATTATTAAGATGAAGAGAGTGTGTGTACAAAAATTTGAATCATACGAATACGACAAACATGGTTTTCTAGAAGTGTGGTTGCCTTATACTATGACACAACTGTAGCATAAAATCACTGCCCTATAAATATTTATATAATGATTTCATGCAACAATTGCATAGTAATGTAATGCAACAATCTTCAAAAACCATATTGGGGCCCTTCGTTTGATCCAAATTTTAAAATATAGACTCTTTTAATTCTAATGAACAATCACAAAAAGGAAAAATTTAAAAATACAAGATAGAAAGTATATTTTTTGCCCAATAAACATAAGCCATCCATTTTGATAAGATGCTTAGATCTATGCCTTAAAAATATTTTTTTCTTTTCCAATTTTTTTAGATGACTTTATTATCATTAGATGAACAATGTTAAAAAAGAAAAAAAAATGATTTTGAGTGTGTAAAGGCCTAGATCTAGAAATTAACCAAATGAATGGTTTAGATTCGTTCTTAGAAGGACTCATTTTGACCATATCTAGAGTTCAAATTAAACTTTTTTTTTTTAGATTGATTATTGAGATGAAGAGAGAGTGTGTACAAAATTTTGGGTCATACAAATACCACCAACATGGCTTTCTAGAAGTGTTGTTGCATTTTACTATGATACAATTGTTCTACTAGATCATTGCCCTATATATATATATATATATATATATATATAG